GAATCATAAAGTTAGCATTATAGGCCCCCTTTTTACTGAATATTTGTCACACCCAAACCGAGAACGGCGGAAACGTTCTGGGGCGGAGGACGTCATGTAAGTATCACAACACAGTAAATGTAAATAAGCAAACAACATCATCCATTGCATTAAATATATAATTTTAATACAAGCGTGTTCTGTATAGTATAGACACTAAAAATAACGTATATCAAAATAATAAGATGAGTCTTGAATGCGCTCCATCTTCTCAAAAGCTGGCCTCGGTACCTGTCTACTGATGACCTGAGAATACAAGTTATTTTGAAAGAGTTTATCAGCATTAAGCTGGTGAGTTCATAAGTATTTTAGTGTCGGTATTTGTCATCCAAAAATGTTTGAACATGTATAAAGTATAAGTTTGTAAATGTATGTAAAGATTTGCAATTGTTTGTAAAAGTTTGAATCTCTCAGAAAACCTATATTTTCTATTAAAGTAGCCTTCTACCAAGGCTTAACTGTTTTGTATGCTCGTTTGATGTAAAAGTGTGTAATTTTCCAAATGCAACTATCACTAAAATATGTAATGGGTAATTATTGTAGTATTGTAGCCTTGTATTATAAGAACTACTGTTGTACTAACTACCTTAAACCGGATTTATATTAAGGCATTACGTGATAAATTGCACCATACTATCGACTAGTAACAACGACAAATGAATGGTCGTAATAACGGAATGACGTTTGGCACCCACAGACCTGCAGGTCCGGCTGTAGCTAGCAGCAAGGTGTAGGATTGTCAATCCAGTATAGATCTATACGCAAACTCACGCTCTCCCTTCAAGAGAATTCTGGCTACAACTCGAGCAATGACAGTTAAGTCATGCTCCGATTTAAATCACAATAATAAAGTATTCATGTATATGTACTGTTTCTCGTTCTAGTATAGTTGTATATGTATTGTTTCTAGCATCATTGTATATGTATTGTTTCTAGCATCATTGTATATGTATTGTTTCTAGTATATGTATATGTATTGTTTCTAGCATCATTGTATATGTATTGTTTCTAGTATATGTATATGTATTGTTTCTAGCATCATTGTATATGTATTGTTTCTAGTATATGTATATGTATTGTTTCTAGCATCATTGTATATGTATTGTGTTACCCCGATGGTAACTAACTATTGATGTACTGATAAATATGAATATGGAAGTACTTTTATGTCTATACATGTATATATGATATATAACTAATATTGAAACGACCTTCGGATGGTCACCCGAAATCCCACCAGACCACATCTCAGTGCGCGAAAAGGAAATAGGGCGGATGGCCTTCCTAAGCCCTTTAAACATACTTATATATATATATATATATATATATATATATATATATATATATATATATACATATATGGGCATGCAATTTATAAGAAGTAAAACAAAGTTTAATAAAAGCATTTGATAAGTAAAAAGAGTTTGTAAAACATTTGAAGTGAAACAGTTTGATAAACAGTTGAACAGTGATAAAATCATTGGTTTTCTAGTTATTAATCACATGTGATTAATGCAATCACATGTGATTGATGTAATAACTATAAGTATTTGACTTGTATTCCCCCCCATAAAGTATTTAAAACATTTAAAAGTATTTCAAAGGTTGATTAAAGGGGTATAAACTCACTTGTGGTGAGTAGATTGAATTGATGTATCGGGTACCGTGCTAAGTGTCAAATGGAGACTTGTTCACACGTTCGAGCCTAGTTATCATATAATAAGCATATATATAACTAATTAGCCACATAATAACTTAACAAAGTAAGTTAACACAATTAGGAACATGTATACACTTTGTATAAGTGTTATAGGTCCTAATGGTTGCATCTAAGTTGATACGGGACAAGGCAAAAGGGTTTGAAACATCAAATGGCCTTGCATAAGAGTTCACCACCCAACAAACCCCACCCTTTGGAGTTTACGGCCGTAAACTCATGGGTTTATGGCCGTGAACTCCTCACATGGTGGTTTTGGGTGTTTTAAAGTGTTATCTTGATCCAAGAACACTCCTAGCTTTGTTGGAATAATACATGAAGTAGTTTAAGGCCCTAGAATGCTCCATAGGGGAGTTTACGGCCTATAGTCCATATACCCTAGAGTTTACGGCCGTAAACTCCTATGGGTGATGGCTTTTAATTCATTTGAGGACTTGCACATCAGGATGGCTTCCATGATTTTATCTAAGGCTAATGGGGACAAGATGCACACATTTAGGTCATCACTTGGAGTTTACGGCCCAAGATATGTTCCTTGGCCGTAAACTCCTTTTAAGGAGTGATTATGAAGTCCTTTGATCCCCATTCAAGTCCCATGTGTTCAAGGTAAATTGTCTTAAGGCCTTAGGGGTGTTTGTGGTGCATTTCACCCTTAGAAAAGGGGTTTACGGCCCAAGATCCTTCCTTGGCCGTAAACTCCTATAATTCTATCATTTTGAAGTGTTTTGAAGTCCAAAATAAGCACAAGTATTAGTGGTTAAAGTCCTTAGGCTCAAGGAGGCAAGTTAGGGCATTTATGTCCCTTAAAAAGGGGTTTACGGCCCAAGAAGTTCCTTGGCCGTAAACTCCTCTAACTTGTTGATTTTGGATGCTTTCTAGTCTCTAAAGATCATACACAAGGTCCTTTACACGTTGTCTATCGAGGGAATGGGACTAGGAAGCCTTAAAGTTCCATTTTGGAGTTTACTCCCCAA